GTAGATAAAATGTGTGTTCAAACATAACCGAGCAGAACATTCTTTATGTCCTCAAGATCTCTGAGAACCAACACGATTATCTGTGATGTTTAGAAAGCACACAGAATAAAAAACCCTAGGTCAGGCTGTGGGTTTTTTCTGGAGTGGAGGGAAGTAGTTGGTCAGAGATATTCATTATATACATTTGTATAGGGTATTTTGGTATTGACAAAGTCTGTGGTCTGGAAACTTTCCCTCCCTTGTTAGGAAGGGAAATTTTAGGTGAGAGATATCTGGGATGGTGAGGTGGAGTTTGGTGCCTGCAGACAAATTTGTGTTGGTTCAACTAAAGCTGGGTTTTTTAAAAACTAGTTTAACTCTAGTCATTTTCATAGCAATGCAGTACAACTGCATTGTGCTAAATCAAAATGGGCGCTCTCGTACTGAAATAAGGTTGGCACTTGCTGGAATCTAGCTGTAACTGCTTAGAAATAAATCTTAGCTGGAGAAATACAGATGAATGTGCAGCTGGATGTGAGGAAATGTTCTCTTTGCCTTTAAAAAGTTTATGGGGTTCAACCAGGCAGTGTGTCCATCCTTGTCCAAGGATAGATCTGTGTGCAGGAGCTGCCTTTGGTTCTGCTCTACAGAACTGGCAGAGGGAGAAAGTACCTTTTGAGGATGCTTCTCAATTAACTTCAGCAGTTCATGTCTGGGATTAGCCACCATTGTGCTGCTTCACTTTCTTTAATGGAACCAATAATTTGTTTTCCAAGTGGTGCTTTCCCCTTTAGCCATGTCCATTTAAATTTAAACCTTAGTACGTTATCCTATGCTAGCAAGAGAAATTGAGACCAGCTCTTTCTTTAGGATCACTGTGGTATTGTTCACTTACCTGCCTTCTCCATGTTATAAGTTAGTATAAGAATTTAGACAACTCAATTACAATTAAACATTGATAAATTTATTAAGCAAGCGATAATAAAGCAAAACAGCGCTGGGTGGCCTGGAGGGCAAGTGCCCTGCCGAAGCACACACCGAAATGAAGTCAGTGTCTCTTTTTATACACGTTCGTGGTTCTTAAGTGCATGTTAAGTGATGTCTGGCATTGGCTTTTCGGATGTAAATTTGTTTGTGGCTTGAGTTCGGTGGCTGGGTAAGTGGTCATCTGGTATTTGTCAGAGATGAAAAGGTGAAGTTCTTATCAGTTGTTTATTGACACTTGCTTGATTCGCAAGCTGTCTGTGAAACTCCTCTTGTTTAATTACAACAAAAAGTTTCTGACTCCCTCATACACATAAGATTTTATGAACAAAGTTAACCCTTCTATTACATCCAGAGGGGTTCAGAATGCTCTGTTGTGAGATAAAAACCTAATCCTGTTAGCATTTGGACTGGAATGCCTGCTCACAAGGTACTGGTGGGTCCTGAAGGGCAATTTTCTGTCTCAGTCAAGGACCTCTCCCAGTGATAAGATCCTAAAAAGAAGGTACTCTGTGTGCTTTTTGATTGTACCCTCAAAGAGTTAAAGGGATAATACTGATAAAAACTAAAGACTCCTGGGTTTGTATGTTTGATATCTCTCACTTTGTGAAGTCCAAGGAGGGTCTTTGTATTCCAGCAGGCTGCATCCTTGGTTGGTCTGAAAAGCAGGAATAAGGGATGTGATTTCACTGCTGTCCCTTTGATGTCACTGCTATCCCTGTGATGTCAGCAGTCTCCAGTGATGTCACTGCTGTCTCCCCAGATGTCACCACTGTCCCATGTGATGTCACCGCTGTCCCCAAGGGTGGTGCCTGTGTCCCCAAAATGTCACTGCTGTCTCTGTAATGTCACCGCTCTCCCAAGTGGTAGCACCATGTCCCCGTGGTGTCACTGATGCCCCTCTGATGTCACCAGAGCCCTGTGATGTCACTGATCTCGTGTGATGTCACCGCTGTCCCCTCTGATGTCACCAATGTCCCCAATGATGTCCCTGCTGTCTCTTTGATGTCACCATTGTCCCCAGCAGTGGCTCCATGTCCCCGTGGTGTCACTGATTTCCTTGTGACATCAGGGCTGTCCTTTTATTTTCAACAGTCCCCTGTAATATCACTGGTCTCAAATGATGTCACCAATGTCCCTATGATGTCACCAGTGCCCTGGGATGTCTCTGGTCCCCAGTGATGTCACTGCTGTCCCCAGGGGTGGCACCATGTCCCTGTGATGTCACTGGTCTCCAGGGATGTCACTGATATCCCTTTGATGGCACCAGTGTCCTTTGATGTCACTGCTGTCCCCAGGGGTGTCACCCAGTGTCCTTGTGATATCACTGGTCCCCAGTGATGTCACCCCTGTCTCCAGGGTGTCACCCGTGTCCTGGGGGTGGCACTTGCAGCAGACTCCAAAGACGCACCCTCAGACTGTTGGCAGGCAATGACCTTTATTAACAACACCCAGAGATCTTTTCTGGGCTTTTCCCCTGTCCACGCCACACAAGTTATTCTTCATTGGCTCTGTGCCTCTGGACACGCTTCAGCTCATCTGCTGAGAGGTGCTCAGTGTCTTTGTGCCTGCTGGCACATCTCAAAACAACACCTGTCACTTACTGCAGTTTTTCCTCTTCTGCTTTCTCATTCTGGATATTTCCATTCCTTTACAAGCTCACAGCTGGAACTGCTCCAATTCCAGGCCTAAGCTGCCCACAGCCCAGCCCTTCCCACAATTCCCCCTTTTTGTTTTTCTGAGGAGCTCTAGCAGGCAGTAAATGCCCAGCTTTACCACTTGTTTGGGCCAGGCACTAAAACTCTGTCCATTAAGCCACCCAGCAATGCCAAAAATCCTTTGTCCTGTGCTGTCCTCTGAGTTGCCGCCTGCAAGCCCGCCATGCTCCTGTACATGGAACAGAGCAGGGTTTTTAAGGATTAACTCAGATGGAGTTTGGTACCACCTTCTGTCAAAGATGCTCTGCTCATGTTGAAATATAACAGAGACAGCTTGTGCTGTTCTGCTGACTGTACTGAAGTAAGAGATAGAGGGGATATTCTTTGAGCAGCCCAGCAGTCGTAAATAAAGATAAGGTGGGCATTTGAGGGGGATAAGAAGAATTCCTATTGTATGGGGTGTGGGGCTCATCAAAGCTTGGAACAAACCCAGTGGGTAAGAGATTTGAATTAATTGTGAAAAATCAGGAGGTAGATTGGTCAGATATCGACTTGATTCTCCCGGAATTGACAGAAACAGAAAAACAGCGAGTAATAAAAGCAGCAAGAAATCATGTGGAAGGGCAGATTGCAACAAATGTTGTAAGGGGAGACAAAGATGAAATTTTTCCAGTTTGAAAACCTAACTGGGACCCGAACAACCCTGACCATTCTAAGTTATTGGGTCAGTGCAGAAGATTGGTCCAGGTGGGATTGTGAAGCCCCTACACCCAAAGCAGTGAATTGGGCTGCCTTGTACCATGTAAGGCAACGATGGGACACCCAGGGCATTCTTAGACAGACTTAGAGCTGCCAGGAGAAAATACTCTGCCCTGGATCCATCATCAGAGACAGGTAAACAACAACTAGGGGGGTGCTGATGGGACAAAGTAACCCTGATATGAGAAAAAGGTTGCAGAAAATTGATTATCTTTCCAATAAAGATTTAGAGGTGTCAATGAATGAAGCCTGGAAAGTGCACAACAACAGGAGGAAAAGAGAAGATAGAAAATGAACAAAGGTTGTGGTTGCTGCTTTAACTCAGAATTCAGATATTAGGGGTGGTGGCAGAGGGCAGGCAATGAGAGGGAGAGGGGACTCACCTTTTCAACAAGCAAGAGAGGGACAAAATCAGTGCACCTGTTGCATGCAGGAGGGGCACTGGAAGGGAGATCGCCCTAAACTGGCAAATAGAAACTCAGGAGGGGCTGTCACAGCTCACCAGAGCACTGAACGAAGGGGACCGGCTGGTTCATCCCCAGCAGACCCCCTGGTTAAAATTGAGCTGGGGAAGAAGAGGAAAAATTGGACTTTTTAGTTGACACTGGAGCCACGTTTTCTGTTTTAAATCAAGAACTGAGGGCTATAAGTGATAAATATGTTCAAGTTGTGGGAGCCACTGGCCAATCAGAAAAAGCTTTCTTTTTGAAACCCCTAAAGGTCAAAATTGGAAAGCAGAAGGGAGTCCATCAGGTTTTCTATTTACCAAATTTACCCAAACCCCTGATGGGCAAAGACCTGTTGGAAAATTTGGTTTTTTGGTCTCTGAAGAGGTTGAAGGTCCTTGAAGGGATTTGGGGGTTCTTGAGGGAGTTTTGGTGTCCTGAGGGAGGAGGCTGAAGGTCCTTGAAGAGTTTTGGGGGTTCTTGTGGGAGTTTTGGTGTCATGAGGGGGGGGAGGTTGAAATTTGGGGGTCCCTGAGGGAGTTTTGGTGTCCTGAGGGGGGAGGTTGAAGGTCCTTGAAGGGATTTGGGGGTCCCTGAGGAAGTTTTTTGGTCTCTGAGGAGATTGAGAGTTTGTTTATTTATAAAAAATCAATATATTAATATTTTTATTATGCTATGTAGATTCTTGTTATAATGTATATTTTTATTATATATACTTCTATTTTAATATTTATTAATTTATAATTAATCTATAATATATATTATAATATATTAATCGCGCCGTTCCTTAATAGAAACCGTCCCTAATTAGCATAGCCCCGACCCCTCATTAACTTACCCCGCCCACCGGAACTATGGGCGTTCAACAAACATTCCAAAACCACGCACCGCGACGAGCCGAAACCCCAAAAAAAACCCAAAAAACCCCCAGGGACGCCTTAGGGACCCTGTGGGGACAATTCGGGACAATTTGGGGACGTTTTGGCGTCATTAAAACACCCCCAAAGCCTCCGAAATGGCCGCGACCTTCCCATCATGGCGGCGGCCACGGGCCGGGAGTGCCTCCCTCGGCCTCTGATTGGCCGAGACGCCGCGCTGTGGTGGGCTCTGATTGGTGGAAGGAGAAGGCCCGAGGGTTGTGATTGGTCGGGAGGCGCGCAAGGCATGACGGGAGTTGTAGTTCCGGGTCGGAGGCCGCCATGGCGCCCGAGGAGGCGCGGGGTGAGGGGGTTTTTGGGGGGATTTGGGGGATTTTGGGGGGTTGGGGAGTTTTTGGGGGTCGGGGGTCGGGAGGGGCAGGAGGGGCGGGGGGTGCTTAAGAGGGGGAGGGGTATTCCCGAGGGTCTGCGGGGGAGGGGAGGGGTTTGGGAGGGTTTCGCGGGGTGGGGGGGTCTGGGGGATGTCAGGGAGGGTTTGGGGGGTCCTGGAAGGGTTTGGGAGGTCCGGGATGTGACTGGGGAGGTCTGGTGGGTCCTGGAAAGATTTGGGAGGTCCTGGAAAGTTTTGGGGGGTCTTGGGGAGTTTTGGGTGGTCCTGGAAGGATTTGGGGGGTCCTGGAAGGATTTGGGAGGTCCTGGAAGGTTTTGGGTGGTCCTGGAAAATTTTGGGGGTCATGGGGGTGATTAGGGGGATCTTGGAAGGTCCTGGAAGTATCTGGGGGGGTCCTGGAAGATTTTTGGGGGATCAGGATGGTCTGGGAGGGTCTGGGAGGTCCTGGAAGGTTCTGGGGAGTCCTGGAAGGTTTTGGGGGGGTCCTGGAAGGCTTTGGGGGTTCCTGCAAGGATTTGGGGGGGGGTTCTGAGCCCAGTTTTGGGGTGTTTTTTTGTCCCGATCCATGAACTGACCCCCCCTTTCCCCTCTTCCCCTTTATCTCCCCCAGCCCCCTCATTGCCCCCCCCGGGGCAGGAATTGGGGGAGGGTCTCCCCCATCCCCCCAGTGAAGGGGGGGGTCTCCCGGAGCCCCCTTTTTTGGGGGGGGAGGTCCCGGGGGGGTTCCCGGGGTACCACGAGCGGCAGCGCCTCGAGCTCTGCGCTCTCCACGCCCTCAACAACCTCCTGCAGAGACCCTGGATCGGCAAAGACGCCATGGACAGGATCTGCAGGGGGTCAGACCCCAGACCCAATTCGGGGGATTTGGGGGATTTAGGGAGGTTTTGGGGAGGTTTGAGGGGATTTGGCAGGGGTTTGGGGATGGTGGGCGGGGTTTGGGGAGAATTTGAGGGGGATTTGGGGTGAGTTTTGGAGGGATTTGAGGGGTTTGGTGGAATTTGAGGGGGTGGGAGGGATTTGAGGGGGTTTTGGGGGATTTTAGGGAGGTGTTGGGGGAGTTTTGGGGATTTTAGGGGTTTAGGGATGGTGGGAGGGGGCTGAGGGGGAGTTTAGGGTGGATTTTAGGGGGTTGGGGAGTTTTGGAGGGTTTGGGGGAGTTTTGGGGGTTTGAGGGGTGGGAGGGGATTGGGGTAGTTTTGGGGCGATTTGGGGGTTTTGAGGGGATTTTGGGGGGTTTTGAGGGGATTTGGGGAGTTTGGGGGATTTGAGGGGTTTTGAGGGGAGTTTTGGGGGGATTTGAGTGGGGGTTGAGAGTGGTGGGAGGGGTTTCGGGGGTTGGGGGTTTTGGGGGAGGTTTGAGGGGATTTTGGGGAGATTTGAGGGAGTTTGGGGGTGGTGGAAGGGGTTTGGGGGAGATTTGAGGGGGCTTTGGAGGGATTTTGGGGGTTTGAGGGGGATTTGGGGAAGTTTTGGGGGGATTTGGGGGAGTTTTGGGAGAATTTGAGAGGGTTTAGGGAGCGGTCCTGGGGGCTCTTTGGGGGGGCTTAGGCAAAGGAGTTTGAGAACCCAGCTTTGGGCTGAGGGGTTTTGAGGGCGGTTTCTGTGGAATTTGGGGAGGGGTCTGACCGCAGGACCCTCCCCACCCCAGCCTGTCCCCCACTCGCGGCTCAACCCCACCGGAGCCCCCTCGGGACGGGAAACTACGACGTGAACGCCGTCATGGCCGCCCTGGGCACCCTGGGGCTGGCGGCCGTCTGGTAGGACAGGAGACGGTGGGACCCTCCCCAAATTAGCGACACACCCCGGGACCCCCCAATTCAGGGGAAACCCCTGGTTTGGGGAATCCACCCCAGAGACCCCCGACCCTAATTCGGGATCCACCTTCCGGGGCTGTTTGGTGGGACAAGAGAGGGTGGGACCCCTCCCCAAATTAGGGATAGACCCTCCGGGACCCCCAATTCCAGGAAGCCCCCAGAACCCCCAATTTGGGAACCCACCCCAGAGACCCCCGACCCCATTTCGGGACCCCCCGAACCTCCACCTTGCCCTGGGGTCTGGTGGGATAAGAGAGGGTGGGACCCCTCCCCAAATTAGGGACAAAACCCCCGGGATCCCCCCAATTCGGGGAAGCCCCCTGGGACCCCCCTAATATGGGAAATCCACCCTCAGAGACCCCTGACCTAATTCGGGATCCACCTTCCCTGGGGACTGGGGGATAAGAGAGGGTGGGACCCTCCCTAAATTCGGGACAGACCCCCGGGACCACTCCCCAAATTCGGTGGAGGGGTCCCCCACCCCGTGTGACCTCCCAAACCCCCTGACCCCCAAAGCCCCCCGACCCCTCTAACCCCCCCGTGCTGGGTTTGCTCCTCAGTGTCCCCTTTCGGGTGACAATCGGGGGGGTGGTCCCTGACCCCACCCGTGACCCCGTGTGACCCCCCTGTCACCTTTTGTCACCCCCCCAGCCCCCTGGAGCGCCTGTGCCTGTCCCCGGTGCTGGGACTGCTCCTCAATGTCCCCTCCCGGGTGACAATTGGGGGGTGGTCGCTGCCCCTGAGCCGCCCCCACTGGGTGGGGGTCCGGCAATGGGGGGGCACCTTCTACAACCTGGACTCCAAACTGGCCAGACCCCTCCCCATCGGGGGGGAGGAGCAGCTCAGGTGGGAAAGGGGGGGAAAAGGGGAAAAAATGGGGGAAATGGGGAAAAAAAGGAGGGGGGGAGTTGATAAAAAAATGGGGGAAATGAGGGAAAAACGGGGGAATGGGAAATAAAGGGGGAAATTGGGGAAATGGAAAAATAGGGGAAATGGGGGAAAATGGAAAAATTGGGGGAAAATGGGGGAAATGTGGGGGGAAATGGGGAAAAGTTGGGAGAATGGGGGAAAATGGGGAAAATTGGGGGAAATGGGAAAAAAGGGGGGGAATGGGGAAAAAAACGGGAAAATGGGGGATGGGGAAGAAATGGGGGAAAATTGGGGGGAAGGGGAGAAAAAGGGGGAGAAATTGGGAAAAAGGGGGGGAAATTGGGAGGAAAAATGGGGGGAATGGAGGAGAAATGGGAAATTGGAAAAAAATGGGGGGAAATGGGGAAAAATTGGGGGGAAAACGGAGAAATGGGGAGGGATGGGCGATATGGGGGGAATGGAGGGAAATGGGGAAAAGCGGGGGAAATGGGGGAGAAAAGGGGGGAAATGGGAAAATACAGTGGGAAAATGGGGGAAATATGGGGGGAAAATGGGGAGATGGGGAAAAATGGTGAGAAATGGGGGAAAAATTGGGATGGGGGAAATGGGAATGGGGGAAAAAAGAGGGAAATGGGGGGAAAATAGAAGGATATGGGGGGAACGGGGAAAATTTTGGGGGGAAAATGGGGCAGAAATGGGGAAAAAGAATGGAAATGGGAAATGAGGGGGGAAAAAAGAGGGGAATTGAGAAAAATGGAGGAAAAACGGGGGGGATGGGGGGGAAACGGGAAAAAGGGAGGAAATTTGGGGGGAAATGAGGAAAAAACGGGGGAGAAACGGGGCGGAAATGGGGGAAATGTGGAAAATGGGAGGTGGAGTGGGTGGAATGGGTGCCGGGGGTGTCCCTGGCGGTGCCGCGGGTGCCACTCCCGCTGTCCCCGCGGTGTCCCCGCCCCGCTCAGGTCGTTCCTGCGGTCGCTGCTGTCGAGCGGCCTCTCCGAGCTGTTCCTGGTGGTGCCGCGGGACGTGGAGGCGGCGGGGACCTGGCTGAGCCCCGAGTGACGTCAGCGGTGACGTCACCCACGAGCCGGTTTTTGGGGGTGGTTTTATCCCCCCCTCTCCGTGGTGTTTGGTGACGTCATCGAAGCCGCCCGGGGTCATCCCCCCCACCCCCCCCGGGCCCAAATTAACACTCCACCCCAACAAATAAATTGATTACAAATGGTGGGTTTTTTAGCCTCGGTTTTGTACCCTCGGAGGAAGAAACACCCCAAAAAAAACTCCCCCGATTTTTTCCCAAAATCCCCCAATTTCGTCCCAAAATCCTTGATTTTCGCATCAGAATCCCCGATTTTCCCCCCCAGGTCCCAAATTTTTCCCCCAAATCCCCGAATTTGGTCACAAAATCCCCAAATTTCATCCCAAAATCCTTGATTTGCACCCCCAAATCCTCGATTTTTATCCCAAAATCCCCAAATTTCGTCCCCAAATCCCCAATTTTCGTCACAAAATCCCCAAATTTCACCCCCAAACCTAGATTTTTATCCCCAAATCCCCGAATTTCGTCCCCAAAATCCCCGAATTTCATCCAAAAATCCTTGATTTTCACATCAGAATCCCCGAATTTCATCCCCAAATCCCCACTTTTCATCCCAAAATCCTTGATTTTCACCCCCAAATCCCCAAATTTCACCCCAAAATCCCTGATTTTCTTTCTAAAATCCACGGATTTCGTCACAAAATCCTTGATTTTAACCCCCAAATCCCCAAATTTCGCCCCCAAATACCCGCATTTCATCCCAAAATATTGATTTTCGCATCAGAATCCGTGATTTTCACCCCTGAATCCCCAATTTTTCCCCCAGATCCCAAATTTTTCCCCCCAAACCCCCGAATTTCGTCCCCAAACACCCAAATTTCACCCCCAAATCCCTGAATTTTGTTGCAAAATCCCAAAATTTCGTCCCCATATCCCCGATTTTTATCCCCAAAATCCTTGATTTTCACCACGAAATCCCGTTTTCATTCCCAAATCTCAGCCCCAAATCCCCGAATTTTGTCCCCAAACCCCGAATTTCGTCCCAAAATCCTTGATTTTTGCATCAGAATCCCCTATTTCCCCCCTCCAGATCCCAAATTTTTGCCCCAAATCCCCGATTCTTATCCCAAACCCCCGAATTTTGCCCCCAAATCCTCGAATTTCATCCAAAAATCCATGATTTTCACATCAGAATCCCTGAATTTCGTCCCCAAATCCTTGATTTTCACCCCCAAATCCTTGATTTTCACACCAAAATCCCCAATTTTCATCCCGAAATCCCTGAATTTTGTCCCCAAATCCTCAATTTTCAACCCAAAATTTCGCCACCCCAAAATAACCCAAATTCCCCCCAAGATCCATCGATTTAAGCCCAAACCCTCCACCCCCCCCTTGTGCCCCCAAAACCTCCCCGGGATCCCAAAACTCCCCCAAAAATAGGGGGGTTGGCACCCTGAAAATGGGGTTTGGGATCCCAGAAATGGGAATTGGGACGCCAAAAATGGGACTTGAGACCCTAAAAATGGGAGTTGGGATAAAGAAAATGGGATTTGGTACCCCAAAACCGGGATTTGGGACCCTGAAAATGGGGTTTGGGATCCCAGAAACGGGAATTGGGATGCCAAAAATGGGATTTGGAACCCTAAAAACGAGATTTGGGACCCCAAAAATGGGGTTTGGGATAAAAAAACGGGGCTTGGGATCTTAAAAATGGGGTTTAGGACCCCAAAAACGGGGGGGACCCCAAAAAATAGGGGATTTGTGATCCAAAAGTGGGGATGGGACCCCAAAAATGGGGATTTGGGACCCCAAAAAATGGGGATTTGGGACCCAAAAATGTGGGTTTGGGGAACCAAAAAATGGGGTTTGAGACCCTAAAAATGAGATTTAGGATCCAAAAATGGGGTTTTGGGACCCAAAAATGGGGCTTGGGACCCTAAAAATGTGGGTTTGGGAAACCAAAAAATGGGGTTGGGAGCCTAAAATGGGGATTTGGGACCCAAGAAACGGGATTTGAGACCCCAAAAATGGGGTTTGGGATAAAAAAATGGGGCTTGGGACCCTAAAAATGGGGTTTAGGACCCCCAAAACGGGGGGGGACCCCAAAAATAGGGGATTTGCGATTGAGGGGTTAATTAAGGGGGTCTCTAATTGGGGGGTTATTTTAGGGGGTCTTTAATTGGGAGTTAATTGGGGGGGTTGATTGGGGGTTAATTAAAGGGGAGGTTTAATTGAGGGGTCTCGGGTTTGGGGGATCTCGGGGGGTCCCGGTGGGGTCTCGAGGGGGTGAATTTGGGAGGGAGGGGGAGGGGCGGAGGCGGTGCAAGACGCCCCGAGTCGCCGCAAGACGGCGCTAAGGGGCGGCCACGCCCCCGGGCCCAAGCCACGCCCCAAGGCCACGCCCCTTCATGGCAAACCACGCCCTCTGCCACAAAGCCCCTCCCTCGGCGTGAAGCCCCGCCCCTTTTAAAGCCACTCCTTCGAGGCTCCGCCCCTCTGCACTTCCCCTGCCCCTTCCAAAGCCACGCCCCTTCTGTGAGCCCCATTCCCTAACCCCGCCCCATCTCTGGTCCCGCCCCCATCACAAGCCACGCCCGCTCCGGGAAGCCACGCGCCTTCCCCAAAGCACGCGCCCGCCCAGAGCCCTTCATTAATATTAATGAGGGGGCGGGGTCAAACGCGGACCGGCTGTATCGGTGGTGCGACAGCTCATGAATATTAATGCCCGGCGCGTTCCGCCGGGTGACGTCATTAATTACGGGGGGGGGGGCCTTGTCAAGGGCTCTCATTAAGATTAATATCAACGCGGAGAGGGGGTTGCTCAATAATATTCATGAGCCGAGGGGCGCATCCAATGTTAATTAGGAAATCATCAGGAAATTCACAAACGTCATTAACAGCTTATTAATATTCATGAACTCTTTTCTCTTCATTGCCATAAATGAGGGCGTGGCTGCCAGCGATCGGCGCCTCATTAATATGCACGAGGGGCGGACCCGCCTTACCCACCGTTGCTTCATTAATATTCATGAGGGGGCGTGTCCCTGAAGGGGGAGGGGCGGATCTCCAGAGACCCCTCTGGGGCCCCCACAGACGCTCCTGCCGCGGGGGAGTGGCCAAGGTGGGAGTGGGCGTGGTCTCCGTAGTGGGCGGGGGCAGCTATTGGGCGTGGCGTGTGATGGGCGTGGCTGTGGGCATGGGCAGTATCCCTCCTTATCAGCAGGTGGGCGTGGCCAGTGAATGTGGGGCGTGGTCTACTGGTTATGGGCGTGGACTACATCAGTGGGCGTGGCACGGACGCGAACCCGCCCTCATCCCTTCCCCCACGCGCCGTCGATGGGCGTGGCCTCATTTCCATACCGGTCACACTGTGGGCGTGGCTTGGTCCCTCCCGTACCGGGTGGGCGTGTCCCGCGGGCGAGTGGGCGTGGCCCTGTCGCGCGTGGGCGTGGCCCGCAGGAGCGGCCGCTCCGTCCGTTCCCTTCGGCCTCGGCTTTTTTTTTCGGGGGCGGGGTTTGTTTTCGTGGCCTCCCCCGCCGGTCCCGCAGCCCCGGCAGGTACCGTACGCGTGGTCGCGTGGTTGGGGAAGGGGCGGAGGGCGAGGGGTTTTTGGGGGTTGGGGAATGGGGGGTGGTCGATGCGGTTTTGGCGAGGGGAGGTGAAATTTTGGGGGCGATCCGGGTTCTTTTGGGGGAGGTATTTTGGGAGTGGGTGGGGGAGGTGCCGTTTTGGGGGGTGGTCGCGGCGTTTTGGGGGCGATGTGGGCTTTGGGGGTGGGGGAGGTCTGATTTTTAAGGGGCGGTGTCCGTGAGATTTTGGGGGCGAGGGTGGGGGATGTATTTTATGAAGCTCCGGTGGAATTTTGGGTGGAGTCGCTGTGATTTTGGAGGGTGGTCGGTGCATTTTTAGAGGCGGGGTCGCTGCGATTTGGGGGGTGGATTTTTTGTGGCAGTGGGGCCGGGGGCGGGGGAGGGGCGGAACGGGGCCGTTTTTGGGGAGGGGGAGGTTTTGGGATGGGGGCGGGGGAAGGGGGGCGTGGGGAGGGGTCGTGGGAGGGGTCGCGCGATGCGCCAGAGAGAGAGACACGTGGGTGGAGGGAAGGGGGGTGGGAAAAGAGGGGGAGTCGTGAAATTTAGGGGGAGACACGTGGAGTGGGGGGGTAAAGGGGGTTAAATGGGGGCGGGGGTCGTGGGAAGGGAGGGGTTAAATTGGGGGTCGTGAAAATGGGAAAGGGTCGTGAACATTGGGGGATGGGCGAGGGGGTCCGGACACGTGGAATTTGGGGGAAGGGGTCGGGGGTTGGTGGGGTCGTTTTAGGGGTCTGTCAAGGGAGGGGTCGAAAAGGGGTCGTTTAGTGGGGGCGTTTTTGGGGGGTCCTGAGGGGGAGGGTCGTGCAAGGAAATGGAGGGGGAAAAGGGGTCGTTAAAGGGGTCATTTAAGGGGTCTTTAAAGGGGAGTGATTTAGGGGCTTTTAAAGGGGCGTCGTTTTAGGGGTCGTTTGGGGAGTCTTTAAAGGGGGGCTGATTTAGGAGGTCTTTAAAGGGGGTTGTTCAAGGGGTCTTTAAAGGGGGAGTAATTTTATGGGGTACGTTAAAGGGGTCTCTAAAGGGGGTGATTTAGGGGTCGTTTGGGGGTCTCTAAAGGGGACTCGGGGTCTTTAAAAGGGGGTCATTTAAGGGGTCTTTAAAAGGGGTATGATTTAGAGGGGCATTAAAGGGGGTCATTTTAGGGGTCTTTAAAGGGAGGCTGATTTAGGGGCGTTAAGGTGGGGGTCCATCAAGGGGGAGGGGTCGTGTAATCCACATGCACGGGTGGGGAGGGGTCCAAACTCACCTCCTCCCCGCGACCCCCGAAGGGTGGGGAGGGTCGTGTGGTCCAAGCTCCGCCCCCTCCCCTCCACGTGTCCTTCACGAACCCCTCCCAAATTTGGGGCCTCGTGGGGAGGCTGGGTGGGTGGGGAAGGAAGGGGAGAGGGGCGTTGCACACGCGTGCAAAGTGGGACACGCGAGGGCCCCCGGCCTGGCCTCGTTCGGCCCCGTTTGGCCTCATTTTGGGGCTCCTCCCCCCGTCGTGGGGCAAGTGGGCGTGGCCTGGGCGCGAGGTTTTTGGAGGGGTTAGGAGGGATTTGGGGAGTTTGGGGGATTTAGGGGGTTGGGGGATTTGAGGGGGTCGGGAGGATTTGGAGGGTTTGGGGGAGGTTTGGGGGCTTTGGGAGATTTGGGGGATTTGGGGGTTGAAGGAGTGGGGGGATTGGGAGGATTTTAGGGAGTTTGGGGGTTTTGGGGGTCATGGTGACAGTGGGGGGTCTCGGTGACACGTGGGGGATTTGGGGAGTTTGGGGGATTTGGGGAGTTTTGGGGGATTTGGGGAGTTTTGGGGGGTCACGGTGACATTGGGGGGGTTGTGGTGACACTTGGGGGGGGGGGGTCCAGTGTCATTTTTGGGCTCTCAATGTCCTATTTTGTGGTCCCAGTGTCCCATTTGGGGGTCCTAATGTCCCATTTTGGGGTCCCAGTCAGCTTTTGGGGTCCCAGTGTCACCCCCAGTGTCACCTTTGGGCTCTCAATGTCGCCTTTAGGGTCTCCCACTGCCCCATTTTTGGGCTCCCAATGTCACATTTTGGGTCCCAGTGTCCCATTTTGGGGTCTCAGTGTCACCTTCGGGCTCCCAATGCCCCATTTTGGGTCCCTTTGTCACCCCCAGTGCCACTTTTGGGGTCCCAATGTCCCATTTTGGGGTCCCCCTGCCCCATTTTGGGGTCTCTGTGTCACATTTTGGGGTCCCCCTGTCACCTTTAGGCTCCCAGTGTCACGTTTGGGGGTCCCACCGCCCCATTTTGGGGGTCTCAATGTCCCATTTTGGGGTCCCAGTGTCCCATTTTGGGGTCTTTGTCACATTTTGGGTCCCAGTGTCCCATTTTGGGGGTCCCAATGTCCCATTTTGTGTCCCCCCCCCCCCCCATTTTGGGTCCCCCCCTGCAAATTCCTGGCCCGAAATAGCCGGACTGGGACACGGTGGGGGGGGGGGATTTGGGGGAGTCTTGGTGGCATTTTGGGGAATCTTGGTTGGATTTTGGGGGGTTTCAAGGGGGTTTTGAGGGGCCTCAAGGAGTTTATGAGGGGTTTTAAGGGGGATTTTGGGGTCTAGGGAGATATTTGGGGGTCTCAGGGGGTTTTGGAGGGTGTTGGGGGTTTTGGGGGGTCTTGGTGGCATTTTGGGGGGCCTTGGTTGGATTTTGGGGGGTCTTGAGGGGTTCTTGGGTGGGTTTTGGTTGGATTTTGAGGGGTCTTGGTTGGATTTTGGGGGCTCTTGAGGGGTTTTGGAGGTTCATGGGGTTTTGGGGACTTTTGGGGATCTCAGGGGGATTTTGGGGCTCTCGGGAGGGTGAGGGGTCTTGGTTGGATTTTGGGGGCTCTAAGGGGGTTTGGTGGCTTTTGGGGAAACCTGAAAAAAAACCAAACCTGAAACCCTCTGACCTGGGAACAGCCCCCCGACCCCTTGGGACACCCACGACCCCTGGGAACCCCTCAGAACCCCCCTCACCGCTGGGACCCCGCAACCCCTGGGACCCTCCCTCAACCCCTGGGGATGACCCAACCCTTGGGGAACCCCCAAATCCCTGGGACCCCTCGGGACCCCTTGACCCTTGGGAAACCCCTCGAGACCCCCTGACCCCTGGGAAAAGTCCAATCCTTGGGGACACCCCCAATCCCTGGGACCCCCACCACAATCCCTGAAAGCCCCTGGGACCCTCCCCAACTCCCCCTGAGACCCCTCCCAACCCCTGGGAATGATCCAACCCTTGGGGACCCCTGAACCCCCTCCATGTCCCCCCATCCCCAGAGACCTCCGACCCTCCCCTGACCCCCTGTGTCCCCCCAGAGACCCCTGACCTCCCTTGTGTCCCCCTGGCTCCCCCTAGAGACCCCCTGTGTCCCCCCACTCCCCACGGGTGACCCTGATCCTCAGTGTCCCCCCAGAGACCCCCTGACCATGGTTGCCCAGCATGAGGGTCCCGGGAGGTCGAGATCATCCACCTGACCCCCTGACCCCTCCCCAGAGACCCCTGACCCCCTGTGTCCCCCACTCCCCACGGGTGACAGAGACCCCCATGTCCCTGCAGAGACCCCCCTAACTCTGGCTGCCCAGCGTGAGAACTCCTCCTCTACAACCACGCCCACATCGGAGCAGCTGACGAGAATGGATGGCAGGAGATCCACCAGGTGTGTGTGACACTGTCACTGTGTCACCCCACTGTCACCCTGTCACCCCATTGTCACCCTGTCACCCCATTGTCACTGTGTCACTGTGTCACCCTGTGACCCCATCACCCCACCATCCCCTCCCCCACTGTCACATCGGCACCGCCCACGGGAACGGATGGCAGGAGATCCACCAGGTGACAGGGACAGTGACACTGTGTCACCCTGTCACCCTGTCACATCATCATCCTGTCACTGTGTCACCCCACCATCCCCTCCCCCCCGTCACATCGGCACTGCCCACGGGAACAGATGGCAGGAGATCCACCAGGTGACAGGGACAGGGACACTCCTGCTGTCCCCACATCCCCTGCTGTCCCCCTGTCCCTGCTGATGTTCCCATGTCCCCTGATGTCCCCAGGCTGCCAGCCCATATCCCCTGCTGTCCCCATGTCCCCTGCTGTCCCCACGTCCATTGTCTCAGCAACTTGCACAACTGCAAGGTATTTTCAGTCCCAGTCCCCGCTCCAGGTCACCCTCCAAAGTGCTGGAGAGCCCTTCAGACCCACCTGAGCCCACCCCCCGGGCTGCCCACCCCTGTGCAGGTGTAAGAGATTGTTCCACCTCTGAACTCCTGCTTTTGCATTGGCCGCTGCAATGAACAAGTGGTGATGAGCGCTCTGCCGAGGCGCGGGAGGTGTTAATGGGACAATTAGGCACCTTGGACAAGGCTTCTTCGAAACCCTTTCAAGTTGCACAAGCGGCAATTAACCACTTCACGCTAACGAAGCTATTTCCGCAGCTGAGGGTAAGTTTTGCAGGAGCCTCCCCGAGCCCAGAGACCGAACTAAAGGGCGGACACCGCCTTTGGCCTTGGCGGGGCTGCCTGCATCCACCTGGGGGACGTTTTGGTCTGCTTGAGGAACCCCTGGAGAGTCTCCAACAGAAAGTTGGTACATTTTCCCGCCTTGGCAGAGCCAGCCTGCCTGGATACCAGCAGCTTAACCCACTAAAAACACCGTGCAAAGCTCTGCCCGGAGCCAAGCTGGCCGCTGAGCGCCCACCGGGGGGGAGTTTAAGGCAGTGCCCAGCGTTGCCCGAGGTCTGGTCCAGTGCAGGCGGTGTCGCCTGTTATAAGTTAGTATAAGAATTTAGACAACTCAATTCCAAATAAACATTGATAAATTTATTAAGCAAGCGATAATAAAGCAAAACAGCGCTGGGTGGCCTGGAGGGCAGTGCCCCGCCAAGGCACACCCCGAAATGAAGTCAGTATCTCTTTTTATACACGTTCGTGGTTGTTAAGTGCATGTTAAGTGGTGTCTGGCATTGGCTTTTCGGATGTAAATTTGTTTGTGGCTTGAGTTCGGTGGCTGGGTAAGTGGTCGTCTGGTATTTGTCAGAGATGAAAAGGTGCAGTTCTTATCAGTTGTTTATTGACACTTGCTTGATTAGCAAGCTGTCTGTGAAACTCCTCTTGTTTAATTACAACAAAAAGTTTCTGACTCCCTCATACACATAAGATTTTATGAACAAAGTTAACCCTTCTATTACATCGCCCAGGGTCCCGTGCTGGCTGCCGGCCCCACTGCTCGCTCTGTCCTGCTCGTGTCCCACCTGCCTGCGTCTCCCAGGATCTCTCTTGGATCTAGCCTGCTCACCCCCTGCTTCCCTCCAGCGACCCTTCCCTGTCTGCCTGAGGCTGGCTACACCCGCTTCTCTCACTGGTGCTGGTAACTTTTGCACTTTCCTCTTGTAGCCTTTCCTTTTCCTTATCTCTCTTCTCTCCCCTCCTGCATTTACCATTACTTATTGTTACAAATAAAGCAAATTGCTTGTTTGAGACCTAACAGTTGGAGTTTTGTGCCTTAATCTCGCCTTCGAAGTAATCATCTAAAAGAACTTCGTTGCAGCCTCTGACCAGATTGTAACAGCAGGGCAGCTCGTGGAGCCCCCGGGACAGGGGATGGTGCCTCTGGACCTTCCTCCTGAGGGGCTTCTGCCATCCCTGGGGGGCACAGAGGGGACAGGGGTACTCAACTCCTCCTGCTACGAGCTGATCTTGGACAACATCCCGAGTTCCCAGAGCCTGTACAGGTCCTGCTCCAACCCAGGGCTTTGCCAGGGTGCTCCTGCGCTCCAAAAATAAAAACATAAAAAAGCTAATAATCCCCTTGGGAGCAGGGAGGACACAGTCATTTGGGTTCTTTTGTATAAAAATACAACAGTGTCATAAATATATTTCACAAAAGAAATATATAAGAAAAAGAGAAGGACAGGACAAGAGTAGATAGTGGAAAGGTACCACCACCCCTATATTAGATGAAGAGGTGAAGCTGTGAGTACCCAGCACCAGAGAAGGTCCTTTCTCCATCACCTCTGTGCTAGGTGAGCTTGGGGCTTGTGGAAGAGATACAGCTGCTGATATGAGCAGCTCAGACTCCTGAGATCATGGTCACACAGGTACACACACTCTCCATGGCCATGGATCCTGCAATGAGGAGCAGAGAGAGCCTTGGTACCATGGGAGGACACGTTGTCATTGCCCCTTCCCCTCCAGGCCACACCAGTGCCCACCATCCTCGTCAGGGCCCTGTCTGTCCCCTCTGGGCCAGGCTTCTGTGGAGCTGAAGCTGCTGCCATCTCCCCACCACAGCTGCTCACACAGCCAAGGCCACCACCAAAGCCAGGAGCAGGAGCAGAGCTAGCACCAGGGTGACCACTGGATGGAATGGGAACCTCTTGTCTGGAGCCACTGGTCATGAGGACAGAGCTGTCCTGAGCAGGCCCAGCCCTCAATTCCCCCACCCAACACTGGCTGCCCGGGGAGCACGGCAGGGACCCCCAGCCCAAGTGCCCCTCACTCAGCTGGCAACAGTAGAGCCAAGGGCAGGGACATGGCCAGGGACAGAGTCAGGGACACGGTGAGGGCACACACTGTGGCAGCAGAGCTGCCCAGAGCCAGGGCCAGCGGGGGTGTCAGTATTGGCCACTGACGGGGCCAAGCAGAGCACGAGGCCTCTTCCAGGCACCTGGAACAGCCTCACACTTGCCAGGTTCTGTCCTTGTGGGGTGACACTGTCCTCTTCCTACAGGACACAGGGGTGGCCCTGCATTCACACAGAAGTCTACTGGGTGTCCTTTTATGTGTGTCCCCAGCTGTTGAATTTATCCTGGGGACCTGGGAGCCCCTTTACAACCCCATCAACTGGGGCAGAATCCACTCTCCACCCTTTTCAGTCACCACAGAGCTACAAGTGGCATCCCACTGCTCATGACAAGCCAGATATTGCACCCAAGGCAATATCTTGGAGGCTGATGGCAGCAGTGGGATTTCCCCCTGAACTGAGCTTGCACCCCACTGAGAGCCCCCCAAGTGCTTTGGGCTGTGTTGGAAAATGCTGAAAGCACCTGTGAGGGTAATACGAAAGCTGGGGGATCATGGGGTGCTCTTTGCCTGTCCTACCCACCCTGCCCGGCTGCTTGGAGAGCGGGATCGGCCTTGGGAACAAATGCCTTTACTTCAGGAAGCAGGAATTGGGCTGGAACCAAGAGTAAGCCCTCCTGCCTCTCCTGCTGAGTCCACCTGGACACCATCGACAGTGGGGAGGAGATGGTGAGAGAAATCCCCGAGGAGCCAGCGTGGAATACCTTTTGAGAAGGAGATTTGGGAATTTCCTGAACCAAGATACCTATGATGCTTGCTTTCTCCACCTCCAGCATTTCCTTTTGTGCTGTGGGAGGTCTGTGCACCATTGGATTGGTCTCCAGAGGGAAGGTTCTGGAGCTTGGAAGTGATTCAATGTCCTGTATGTCCTATCTTCTGGAGGTTGTAACCATGGCCTGGGTTGAGCTGGACTGGAGGCTGGATGCAGAAAGACACATGTAGACATAATCTAGTGAGCTGTGAAGCAATCGAACACTGCTTTTCCTGGTTGTGCCAAAGCACTCAGCCACAGCCTGTGGATTTTGGAATATAAATGCTGCTGGGGGGTTGGGGACATCCCCGGATGAGCCCCTGGGACCAAGCACGTGAAAGTACTCCTTCTGAGGAGTGGGAGGCAGTTTGGGCTCTATGTGGGGGGTTTGCTGGGGAGGGTGGTCCCTGCTTCTGCAGCACCCTTAATGTCTCTGGGAATGGGAATCTGTCCCATCCCAGCCGTGTTCTGGGAGCTCTGGCTGTGCTGTTGGTACAGGTTTGACGTCTGGGGCAATGGCCAGTGTACCTACACCAACTCTGACTGGATCAGGTGCTCCCAGAGGAAATTCTCTATCTGCAGCCACTGCAGAGGTGCCCCAGTGGGGTTTGGAAGGATCCAGAAATCCTGAATTCTACCTGAAACTTCCCTCTTGGCAGGGATCTACCACCAGCTTCCATTAACCCTATGGAATGTGGTTTATATTTATTTAAATTTTTTCTTGGAGAAGTGGAAACTCATTCTGGTGACAACAGGGAGTCATGACCAAAGGATCCTTCAGCCTTTCCAATTGCAAGAAGATTTCCAAGGTTGGGAAAACTCTCTGCCATGCTTTGAAGCTCAGTTCTGCTGGGGTTCGTGTCTGGTTTTTGGTGGATTTGGAGGAGTTGGAGGCACAGGAAAGAAATTGAAATGAAGAAACACAACAGAATTGCTTCGAGCGCTTGAGAAAAGATCCCAACCTTGGCCAGGAGCTCCTGAACCACTCTTCACTCTGAGATTTGGCATCCTGGTGAATCATCTAACACCGGGTCCATCCAAAACCTGATGAGCACAGTGATGGCAGCATGCCCTTGGACACTGAGGGTTCGGACCTGGCTCCCTGCCAAATGCCCCCTTCCCCCTCCCTTCTTCCCTTACGGCAAAGCAAAAAAAAACAATAAAAATTGAAGAATCCGAAGTCAATCTAGTTATATAAAAATATATTTTCCGTGTATTACAGTTATATGCAATGAAAATGCTATGTACACAGCAAAGGGAATCCAAGCACCTCCCGAAGGGAAAGGGCAAAAAGGGGCAAAAAGGCACACAGAACGGATATACACAATCAAACCCAAGAACCAGCTAAATAAAGAATTAGCAAAACAAATCTCACCCTGTCCCTCAGAGACACAAGATCGCCAGACATGGCCAGCACTCTCCAACCTCCCGCGTGGCAGAGCAGAGGTCACTGCAGGGCCTCAGGCTCCAGGTAAGCGAGGCCAACACAAGGACTCACTGCTCCCAAACCTCACCAGAAGAGAGTGAGGTCTCTAATCTCCACTTATTTATACTCTGGTTTACGTAAAAATCGTATGGAATACTGGGTACATGGCCACTTCCTTGGTTACAAGCTGGTTACCAGGAAGGCCTAGACCAAAACCATCACAGACACTGCCATTCCAGCCACGACATTTATCTCTTTGAGTGTTTTCCCCCCAAAATCTAAACTGGATCAGCAGTTCCCAGCTCAGCTGTGGCATGAGAATGTTCCACCCATTTGCCTCTTGCCCCAGCTCTGGTGGGGATGGAGAAGTGTTGGGGGATCCCAACTGCCTTTTCCTCCTCTCCCTGTTTAGCAGTCTTGGCACCTTTTGTGTGGGAGCCATCCCTGAATTAACTCTGTTTTGGGAGCTGGGCTCAGGAGGTGAGAGTGATCTCAGGAGCTCACCACCAAAATTTGGAGCCCAGTTCCCCAGCCAGTATCAGAGCTGAGGCAGTCCCTGCCCAGTTGTGTAAGGGAAGAAATTGTCTTGATAAGAAGCACCATCCCACCTCGCTTCTTATCGGCCTCTTCCCTTATCTGGCTCAAAACTCAGCTTCTCGCTAATCAAAGATTGCTTGAGCCATTGACCATTAACCTTTCAGTCTCACAGGGGGAACCCTCAGGACTGCCAACAGCCTGGAGAGGGGGTGCGCTGGGGAGGGCTGGAGCCTGGAGAGGGGGAACCCCTGGGACCCACAGCAGCTGAGGTGGGGGGAGCCCAGTGACCCTGAAATGTGGGGCCTGTAGAGGGGCGACCCCAGAGAGGGGGGAACCTCGGGACTGCTGGCAGCCCAGAGAGGAGGGGAGCACAAAGAGAGGGGAACACTGAGAAGAGGGACCCCCAGGACTCCTATTACAGCTCACTGACTGGGGACATGATGTTCATTATAAATTCCCATCAGGCTGAAAAAAGGCACTGGACACATGTTAGGAACTCTTTATGTTTTATTGTACCCAACACTTCCATGGGTTCTCAGCTTCCCCCACAAACCCCTCCAAGGCGCTGGCTCACAAGGCCCAGCACAGCTCCACAATCTTCTCTTCTTCAGCATCCACCAATCCTGTGTGACCCAGAGACTTTGGGTAAATGTAACTCATATCGTATTCAAATTAAATAAATGAACCTACAGCAGGTTTTTTTTGGTCTGAGATCCATCCTCAGCAGAGTAGGAATGAATAGGAAATGGGAACAGCTTTGTGACTGCACCAGCTTTGGGATGGGCCCTTTGCCTGCATCAGTAAGAGCTCTTGAGGACCACAAGGGCTTTCGTGCTGCCCTGGGGAGATGGGATGGCAGAGAGGGGCTGCAGAGCTCTCAGGATCTTCTGGAGAGGAGAGCAGGGCACACCTTTTCCTTTTGCCAATCACATTCACCCATTCAGTCCTCTCTGAGCTCCAGCTGCTGCTGTGCCCTTGAGAGGGGCTGGGTCACTGCCCAGAGCACCCTACCCTGGGCAAGGCTGTGGGGCCAGACCCGCCTGGGCTGTGCTAGGGAGAGGCCCTTGGTGGTGGAAGAGAGCTTAGGGGATGTGGGGGAGCTTGGAGGGAGCTGGGCTGGGCTGGAAAGGACCTAGAAGAGAAAACCAGCAGTGTGTATCTCACACTGTGTGACCGTGCAGGGGGAGGA